TGTGAATGCGAAAGAAGGGTGGAGGGGTGTGGCTTAGCGATCTTGCACTTCAGCTTGAACTTCAATACTGAGGCCCCGTCCACACTATGCCGGATAAATTTGAATTCGAATTTTTATTCATTCGGTTAGGCCTACCGTCCACACTAGTTCCGGCGAATCCGGAACAATTCTTCACCGAAAACGATTTTTTTCGAATATGGTCTCCAGAGTGGAACAATTTGAAAACGCCGGCTAGCCGTATTAGTGTGGACAGAGAACATTTCGTATCCGAAATTTTTCGAATACGATGATGTCATGATTGTCATGGAAACATGGCGGGAAGGCTAAAAATTCACCGTGGGCTCAATTTCAGCTTTGCTGCACATGCTCAGATGTGCAATGAAGCGTTTTTGTCGCCTCTGATGGGACTAGTGTGGATGCGAAACATTTTATCCGTTTTCATGTGTGGATGGAAAACTTTTTTTTCGGTTTCTGTGTGAAAGTTGGGGATTCAAATCTATCCGGCATAGTATGGACGGGGCCTGAAGTTTTTATTCTTATAACACCTGTATAATATGCTCATATGGGGATGCACAATTAATGAAAGTTGTTTTCTTCATTTCCTTGTCTTACATCCTTCCTCCCTACCTCCCTTCACCCTTCCTCCCTTTCATCATTTTTCAATTCATTTATTCATTTATTATTATCAGATCATTGGTGTTATGTCATCAGACAGACCCAATTCTGCCTCAGCTAGCTCATCCCAGTCATCATCTCGAGCCAGCACTCCAAAGGTACAGAATCTTGATAGACCTCTTCAACTTGGGCGTAATGTTTTCCCATTTCAGACCACGTGTCATTCTCTTTAGAATAAGATTCTTAGTTTGAGTTGGATCCATATTTATGTGTCTTCTCATGTGCAACTGTTCAATGAAAAAATAATACTCTGGGTAATGACGCTGGTCTGATCACCAAACGTTTTGGTGATGTTTTGGTGATCGTAACATTAGGTACACCACGTGTAATCCAGTCGCCAATCAATGATTTTTGTGTCATACTATGCCGTATCCCCGCGTCAGTACCTATTATGGCGTTTTGGAACTTCATCCCATTAATTGTCATTCTTCCATTTTCTTGCAGCCTCAGGCAATCGATGATCCAATGCAAGCACTAGGTAATAATGCATGCGATATTAACTCATCATTTCATTTGTTTTGATTTAATTATGTTACTGATTGCAACTATTATATCATTATAGATGAGACTGCTTTTGTGTCACGTGATCTCCTCATGCGTACTCCAGCACCAAAGGAAAAATATGGTAACCTCTTTTTTCTAATCGAAAAGTAGAATCATTTTCGCTGGTATTAATAGGAGATGAAATTTTTCAGCGTATCACGAAAAAATTGCCCATTAGCTCACTGACAGTCTCCTGTAGCTCTTTGGTAGAGCATCTGACTTGAATTGGAAGGAAGGGTATTGGATCATTTCCCACGAGGGACTCGGTTTTTCCCCCAACTTCCCTTAGTTTTGCTGTGACACCCTGAAAAATTTCATCTTTTTTATCCTTTTTCATTATGTTTGTAAGTCAAGAATGCACACTTAAATATTTATTCATGTTATCCTGTCTCGCTTGGGGTTTACTTCCTATTATTATTATTATTATTTAGCTCCGTCGCCAGTAAAATCTTCCGCTACACATAATCGTGATGATGACGATGACGACGATGACACATTAAAACATTCCTCAACAATGACACAACAAAAGCATTCAGAAACCAAGTCCTTAGATCGATCTGGTAGACTATTAGAAACAATCCTGAATCAAACGAACGAGCCATTAAGTGTAGCAAAAGTAAAAACTTCTCTCTTCCCTCCCTCCCCTGAGGAGCAACTCAATAGCCCTTTCTCAAAGATGTTACAGGCGTCGCAGTTACACGACATGGACTCCCCTATGTCCAAATCGGCTTTAAATGGAAGTATGTTCGACAAGGATGAGCTGTTGTTGTCTCCTTTTGCATTYGAAACTCCAAAACTTTCACGTGTGTCTGTGGCTGGCGAGGACGAAGGCATTTTGGAGYTTCATGAGCCGACATTGTTAACTCCTTTCTCTTTCGTTACTCCATTAACCAAGGAGAATTCGAAAAGAACTGAAAATCCAGCGGCAGGTTTATCGCCATTTTACACCACTTTAAAAAGTGACAATGAAGGGCCAACGACCGAGCCTTGTGGAATGCCTAGTAAAGTAAATGGGACAGACTCAATTAAAAAGACTGTCACACCTTCGACAGCATCAAAAGTGATGCTGAGTGATGCTTTAGAGGAAAAGCTACGGTTAAACAATGAAAAGCTAATCAATCAAATAGAAACACCTAGTCATAGGATTACCACGTCATCCTTTAGTCATTTCAACACACCATCCTTAACTGTTGCGTCTCCAAGTTTTGGTTCTCACACCCAARCGAATAGCCGTATTGATGAAGCTGCGGCATGTAAGCTCAGCCCTCAGATCAGTCTTTTTGAGCCCACTATAGAGCGTGATGGAGARGGGAGTTTGATACTATCGGAGGATGAGACGGGTCACCGATTGGATAAAAAGAACTCTCCATTTGGAGGACTGGAGATAAGTGATAATGAAGATTTTGAGGGCCGTGAGAAAACCCCGTTGAAAGAAAATCCTGTAAGTGAGAGTTCTTTCAAGGARATGAAGGATTCTGACTTAATGAGCAGGTTGAACAAAATCAAACAAGCGCAACAGCGCTACGATTTCATGCACTCATCACCAGGGCGTGGCGCATCCAAGACAGACCTAGAAAGTCCTGGGGCGGAAGAACGTAATGGAAGTACGAGTACTTCAGCTACCGGGAGTGTTGCTATGGAAACGTTACAGCCAAGAAGATCAGATCAAKCACAGGTGAGAWCATTTCTTTCTTTTTTTTTTTYYCCCACAGGCAACCCGAAACAAGGAMTCCGGTTTCATTTCTTCTGTTTATTACCTTTCTCTAGGTACTCCCTGCCGCTGACTTTCCTGTCGCCTTGGAAACCAGTTTCACTGGGGCAGACTCACCCCTTACAACAACAAGAATTAATGGTTCTCTAGAACCTCTCAATAGTGAGGCTGGAGCRAAATCCTCATTGGAAATATTAACCAAAGGTTCGACTACAGAAGCCGCTGAAACGTCCAGTAATGGTTCGACTCCACTGTCGATGCTAAGTGAAAGATTTCTTCTCAAGTCTCCRTTCGGAGTTGAGAAAGATGACTATCTGAACGATTCCCCTTTGCACCGGGTGTTTACTCTAGACTCTCCTATGGCCTCCCCTGATGTGCAACATGATAATTTAACCACAAAGTTTGGTGTTCCTATAGAAGGCCAGACTTTTTACTCCCCCAAGGGAACTCCGGAYCCTGGCACCACACGGTTGGGCGACAAGTATAGTGAGTCGATATCAAAAGACTTGAACATTAAACACGATTTTAGTCCGACTGTGGAACACTTGGGAAACCGTTCTACACTGTTATCTACGGCGAGTGATCAGAATGGAATCGAGGATTCCTGGATGTCAAGTCATACCACGCCCAAAGGTGAACGCATTTTATTTTCACCTCTCCAAGCGACCAGATTTCGTTTTGGAAACTCGTGTGTCTAAATTTGTCTAAGGCCCCGTCCACACGTATCCGGAAATTTGTGTATCCGTATCCGGAAATTTTCGAAAACGGTCTTTAGAGTGGAAATTTTCAAATACGCTCCGAATACGGATACGTGTGGACGGTCGTATCCGCAAATTTTCGAATACGCTGACGTAAACACGATTTTGCACATGCTCAATGAGAAAAACTATCCGTCAAAGGGACTAGGCACTAGCGTGCATCAGGGCGGATCAAGAAATTTCCGGATACGTGTGGACAGTGAAAACGATTCGAAAACGATTCGAATACGCTGCGTGTGGACGCGAACATTTTCGTATCCAAAAAAAAAAATTGCGGATACAAAAATTTCCGGATACGTGTGGACAGGGCCTAAATGGCCTATGTATGTATTCAAGTGTTTTGATTGGATAGTTTGATTTTTGTCACTTTATGATTGGTGCAGAATAGAATGGAAGCCCTTTAAAGGCCACGTACTAATCGTGATACGAAAAGTGCTTTTATGGCTTTTTTTGTATTACTAATCCATTAACATTTCTTTCAACTGCAGGGCTAACGATATCTGGAGACCGTAGACTCAGCTATGACAATTTCTTAAGTAAGAGACAGAAATTGTTGTAAATGTTTTTGAATATCTTCCAGAAGAAACGCTAATTTTCTTCCTTATTTTCAGATGAAAGTATGGATTCCTCGTTTCTTGTCCAAAACACACCTTTCGTTCCTCGAATTCCTAAAAGTAAGCTTCCAAATGACTGACAAAGTCGTGCATTTTTATAWTACGGCACTTTATTTGCAGCAAGCACCAAAAACCCAAATGTAATAGCCTCCATTGTCTTCCGGTAATTCAACCAATCACAACGCGTAGTTATGGCTACRTAGTGCAGTTTTCGTATGACTGTGAAAAGCTCAGTGACGTAAGCGTGAGGTGCCGTGACCGTGATGCTTTCTAGAATTTTAATTGGCTGATTTTTTTACGCGCAATGTGATTGGTCTGGCTTTGCCCTGACCTTGTTTATGCCGTGTTCCGGGTATTTGATTGGATGGAGAGTAAATTCTCGTGCAATGTGATTGGTCTGGCGTATCTCTTGYCGTGTCATAGCCGTGTTCGTGCCGTGAATTTTTCACAGTCATACGAAAACTGCACTATGTTGCGGTACACTTACATTGCTGTGACGAATTTGGCGTATCGTTTCCCACTCATACTGGCAAGTGTCACTMTCTTAATAAATTCTCATTGTCATTTTTTTTCTTTTTAAAGGTTCACAAGGYGGTTCACCAGAAACTGTCAATGGAACAAGCCTAACACACTCGCCCTCTTACGACACTTATGAACAGTCAGAAAACACCCCTTCMAATTTAATGACTGCTGCAAGATCTCCAGCAGTTGGACAGCTGATAGATCTGTAGCACTTAAAACTTATACTAGTTTCATATAACTTGATACTAGCCTTATTGAAGTGAATTGTATATTTTAATACTGAACGAAGATGTAGTTTGCTATATAGACTAAGCTCTAGTTTTCATAAAACAGTTCTTTGGTTTGAATCCAGTTCAGTTTTTATGATGTACAATATTGTACCATACTATTTCTTATGAATTAGAGACTATGGATASTTTGCCATTATACTCGACTTTGATCGTATGTTATGCATATTACCACGGTGGAAATCACATGACCATTTAAGAGTCAACGTCATTTCGATTTTTTTGGGATTCGAGTTATGGCATCAAACTGAAAAATTCTCCGCATAATTAGAGATTGGTGATAACAAAAGGCAAAGGGCTGTTACCCGCAGACAAACAAAACTTAAAAAAAGCTTTATCCCTTTCGAAATTTAAGCAACCCTGCCTAATTTGCCGCACTAAAAAACTAGTATGGAGGCTTTGCACCATCTCTTAATGGAAGCCATGACAGGAGGCAGGAACAATTGAATCTGGTCTAATCTGATTTACATGAGAAAGAATTCAGCTTCCTTGGGAAAAAGGACATGTGCCTCSTGTCATGGCTGCCATCACCTAACGGTGCAAAGCCTCTATTCTCTCCAGGGTATTTCCCTAGAAACAGATATTGCAATAAAGATTAATTAATGTGTGTTCAGTAGTACCTGTACATAGTTTTATCATKTGTAACAACTCGAGGAGATGTTGTACCTCGCACAAATAAATTAAAAGTATAAACTTGTTTCTTGCTTTGTTCTCAAACAAACTGGTATGTTAGTACCAAAACTACGATAGACATGGGGAAAACTGGAATGAGGATCACCATCCTTGCTTCGAAGAACTGTTTGTATATATGTATGTTGTATGTGTATATATATATATTGAAGAAATAGAAAACGCGCCCGTGCTGTGTGGAGTTATAAAGCACGCGGGGGTTGGCAGAACACGAGAGAAGTGTTAGGAGAAGTACGACGCGTAGCAGAGTGCTTCTCGACACTTCTCGACGGGTCGGCAAATTTCCAAGTTCTTTATGACTGCACACAGCACAGCAAGCAAGTTTTTTATTTCTTTTATAAAATACAAATTACATGAATGACGAAACAGAAAGTGCGCGCGCGTGCTGTGTGCTCTCATATAGCACGCGCTCCCAACCAATCAGTACGAGATACCCGAAATTATGTCGGTCGAAAGTGATGCGCTGCAAGACACATTGAACAAAACTTAAAGATGTTCTGGGAAATACAAAGGCAAGATAAAAATTTAGTTCAAATTCAAAAGTTTAATGTTCCTATACTAGGGTTTGGAATATATCTTGCGCGAGTCAAGCAAATTGGTAAAAATTATTTTATTTTAATCAAATTATAATGATGATTTCACCTGACAGTATCTTATAGTTTTCCCGCCAACAAAAAAACGCGCGTGTGCCATGATTTTCCCGCCAAAAAATGGGACGCGCCTACGTTCCCCCCGCCATTTTACAATTCAAGGAAAAAAAGACTTGTTATTTTCAATAGAAAAAAAAAACATTTTTTTCCTATTCATTTCAGAAGGAACATCTTTGCTAAAACGGAGCAGCTAATTCTTGCAGAGGRTCGGAAACACGATAAATAATTGAGTAAGTTATTACCGAGTCTATTTAAAATATTCTAGTTAATTTTGCTATTTATTCAGTTTCTCAACTGATAGAGTAATTTCAGGCTTCATCAGTTTGGTGACTTTTTATTATTATTTTATGACTATCAATAATGTAATCTGAATTCTGTTTCTTTGTTATTTTTAACTCTAGAAATAGCCCCAATATTTAGCATTTAATTTAATTGATTTAGCCTTATTTAGTAATATTATCTCATGAAAGGACTGTTTTACAGCATTTTAGACATACCGCTAACTTTAACCGGTAGCTTATTCAACCGAGAATGAGTTATTTTCTGTGTTTTTCTATCTTTGATTTAAGTTTTAACATTGATTATTCAACATTTTCTCCTGAACAAAGCTGCAAATGGAATCTAGTTACAGTTTAATAATTACCGTGTATTCGTCAAACGCGAAGATTCGCCTTCATTATTATTCTCTTTATTTCAAGTAATTTCTCATTTTATATTATTTCTTGAGGTTACTAAACTATTTGTCTGTATTTTCAGATCTACAATAAAGTAGAATGAATATATGCAATATGCTAAATTATCTTACTTTTGATATGCGGTGATCGACTTGCTTGTTCAGTGTAAATGACTGTGTCCGCAATTAGTTATTGTAACGTCAACACTTAGTTCAAGAGAAAAATTTCAATTGCTTTTCCTTTCATTCAATTTCCTTAATTGTCCTAGAAAGCAAAGTTTATTCAAACTTAGGTGGAGTCGTTTCACTGT